TTTGGAAATGATAAATTTGGCAAGGCATAATTTTGTTGAAATAGTGTGCTTGCCCCCTCATTCTACACACCACATGCAACCTTTAGATAAAACGTTAATGGGACCTTTGAAAGCCCATTATAGTGAGGAGTTGAGATTATTTTTGAGATCGAATCAAAAGGCAGTCACACATTTTGACATAGCTGAACTATTTGGAAAGGCGTATCTAAAGGTGCAAACTGGGGCCATTGCCGTTAACGGTTTTAAAAAAACAGGAATATTTCCCCCAAATCGTCATGTCTTCATAGACAGCGATTTCCTTGCTGCAGCACAAGAAAATATTGAGGAAGGGGAAGCCACAGCAGACAAAAATATTGCTGAAAATACTGTATCAGCAAGGAAATTTAAAGAATTTAAAGAAAAGAAAGGGCCTCGAAGAGGAAGGGTACCTGGAAAGGCAGCAATTATAACCTCGTCTCCATATAAAGATGAGTTAGAAACTTCAATAAATGCAGTCTCTTCAAAAGAAGCTAAAACAGTGAAGCGTAAAGTGTTAGCGGAATTATCAGTTGACCTAAATCGACCATCCTGTAGTAACATCAATTTGCGCAAAACCAGTGCTTCAAAGAAGAAGGCGATTATTCAAGATTCTTCTTCAGAATCAGAGTCCGCGAGTTTCAAAGACAATTCTTCTGAGGAGGATGACATGGAAGACATTGGAGCAGAGAAACCACAGGAAGATGACGCTACTTGTTTCTATTGCAATGGAAAGTTTTTGGATGATAGAAAAGGGAAGAAGTGGATAGAATGCGTTGTCTGCAAAGAGTGGTGCCATATCGATTGTTCGGGATGTGAAACTGATATTTTCATTTGTGAATTTTGTAAAGAAAATTAGTTTGTTTTGCCAATATGCATTTCATTAAAAAATACATTACCTTTATTTTATTTTTTATAGGTAGGTTTACTTTTACTTGTTCAAGGTCTAAACTAAATTAAAGGAATTCATATATGTTTAATAAAGTTAAAAAATGTTCTGAAATTTATATTGTTTTATTCTTACCCTATTCCATATTATGTACATATTCCACATTAGGTACAAAATTCCCCTTTTTCAAAGATTATTTTTTGAGGATGCCGGTATACAAATTTTCTCATTTCTAATACCAAAACCCGATAAATAAAATACTAATGTATGTTTATGAATAAAAGTAGAAACTTCTTTAAAAAAAACAAAAAATACAAGCCAAAACAAAATGGTATTCCATATTTGGTACTTCTCCTCTACTAATACAAACTCTACAACAACTTGCCTTTACGCCTGGAGCACGTTCAGGAAACACGCTCCGACTAAAAAGAGTGTGATTAATTTGGTCTTGGTTCGTTGAAGAACAGTCGAGCGTTCAATTTGGACATTTAGCTACTCTCGTTCAGAAAGTTAAGTAAAATTAGTCTAGAGAGCACTCTTTTTTACCCAGTTTAGACAGAAAGTAGAGTTCCTTTGCAGAAGTTGTTTCATATTTTTCTTTTTGTGTGTCATAAAATGTTTGTACATGGAATTCTATAAAGTTAGGTTTGTTTTAAAATAAATATTCTAAAATTTTTTGTCTTATTGACTATAGAGATCATTCATTATAAACTCGATTATAAATAGGACTGTGAATAGGTACATTTTGAAATAAAAAGAAAAAAAAACCGCTAATAAAACTAAATGAGTAGAGTTAAACCTACACGAGACACGAGTAACAACGGGAAGCGAGGAAAATTGAACATTATAAAATGTCTCTAAAGAAATAACTGTAAAAAGCTTTAATTTCCAAATTTGTTGACGTTTACTTTCGTTGCCATTTAGAAATTTTGGGGCTAATGAGAAACAACTGCCGTGTTCAGTAGTTCAGTTACACTATTTACACCATTACGTCGCGCCGCGCTGATTTAGCTTTTCTTGCTCCGTTACCAGATTGAAGCTCTGCTGGCCTAATTTAATATTTTTATATTTTGTCTTTTTCTGAGGCCCCCTAAATATGAGGCTCTAGACAAGCGCCTAGTGGTGAAACCGGCCCTGAGCAAAATAGGGTAACAGGCACAACCATCAAATATTTGCAAGGTGTGCCTAAAACTGTTAAAAACTCTAACTTTCAAGTCTAACTCTGCCACTATTACTTCTTTGTCATTTCTATATGCTAACCTGGATTCTCTTGATGCCAAATTTGACGAGTTTTTATCTTATGTTCAAGATCTCAAATCGTATTTAATATGTATCACGGAAACCTGGCTAAAACCATAAGATTCAGACTCGCTTGTTTCTATCCTTAAATACACCATATTCCGATATGATAGACTATTGAAAACCGGTAGAGGAGTCTGTATATATATATATATATATATATATATATATATATATATATATATATATATATATATATATATATATATATATATATATATATATATATATATATATATATATAAGAAAAAAGGGTTATTGGGAAATACCGCAAAAAAGAGAGAAAAAAGCCTGAAGGGCAAACCGTAGACACGTGTTTCTGACTATTGGTCTTCATCAGTACGGTGCAGCCAAGTTCAAGACAGAATGGAACTAGCGATGGAAGAAAAAACAAACAGGAGATCACTCAAGTGGCCAACCACACATTTGTTTTTTCTTCCATCGCTAGTTCCATTCTGTCTTGAACTTGGCTGCACCGTACTGATGAAGACCAATAGTCAGAAACACGTGTCTACGGTTTGCCCTTCAGGCTTTTTTTTTCTCTCTTTTTTGCGGTATTTCCCAATATATATATATATATATATATATATATATATTTGTGAAAAAATATCCCAAAACTTTTCAATTAACACTGACGTCCCAAAAATAGCAGGTATATATATTTTACTGCTTAACGTTTCTAAAGGTCTCTTTAGGATTAATTTCGCCTGTATCTCTAGACCTGGTGATCCCTGCGAAGATTCAACTAAGCTATTAATTGATACACTTAACAACTTCTCAATTCTTCAAAATACAAATAGTAAGACATACGATTTACACAGGGTGACCAACTACATCGATTTCAAAATAAACTTAGAAATTATCAACTTCGATGATATTTTATAACATTTTAACAATGTAAATGATATGTGGAGCATTTTTCTATTCACCATTAGTGAAATAATTAAACATTTACCAAGAAATACCGCAAAAATCCGTTAAAATCCTGGATAAATATTTCCTAATGAACATTTCCTAATATATACAGGACTTTGGTTCGTACAGAAACTTCCCTATTTCTTAAAACTATTCATTGGTTCAGCGAGAAGAGACTATGAAGAAAATATTATTCTCAGAAAATAACAAAAAATTCTACATAGGTATTTGTGCGTTTAAATGTATGTTCCAAAGTGTACTATTAATGCGTTATCCAGAAGGAACTTTATGTTCTACAGATTTCGATACTGCGGAAATTCTGGCAAACATTTTCTACTTATATATTTACAACGGAACCTGCCACTACGGCACTACCACATTATTAAATAACCACGTGTATACATAATAGTCTTTCAATACGTCTACTTTACCCTGAAAAATTTTGTCAGTCACAGCTATCTTTAAGAAGGGTGACAAAATGGATGCTTCAAATTACAGGCCTATAAGCCTTCTGCTTATACCATTGATAAAGCAATCCTGTGGATAAGTCATTTATAACTATTTTCGATATACAAAATTGGGATCGGTAGGCGTGTCTTTTGCACTTACTAAAATGGCGGAAAAGAGGTCCGGATTTACACGTTATTACTTCTACTATTTCTGGTTAAGTAAATCTGATTTGAATTCGAAAAAATTAATTGCTTTTACAGATAATGTTCACTAATAAGTTTTTATTAAAATAAAAGTTATAAGCCTGTTTAAACGAAAATCGTTTTTTGTAATAATTGTTTTTTTTTAAACCGGCATTTTTCTTCGTGTCGTCCATAAACATAATTTAATCTTCTTGCCTTAAGAGAAAATTCAATAATAAGATATACATGTAATAAGTTAATTTAAAATCTACATTATACAAATTTATGAATGCAAATATGTACAAAGTTTCCACAGTTTGGTTTTACAAAAAATAGTAAGTTACAATTTTTAAAACATCGTATATTTTATTCTCTACTGATAGATATTAGAAAGATACGGATGCATATCACACACCCAAAAAATTTAATCTGGTTCATCCGGAAGTGAAAACTCTAGGTGATTAAAATTAAGATTTCCCGCGCGCTATCGATCAGCTGATTTCGCCCGAAGAAGGTAACCTACATAACCTTAATCTCTGCTAATAAATTGGTGTATTGTATGGTGTATTGTGATTATTCATATTGTATGGGAATTGTGTTCTTTTTTAATCTGTGTCTCGGCATCAACTGCTATAGCTATTAGCATGTTCTGTTTAGACTTTCGTTACTGTTTTCCAGCGCTACTTTAGAAATATCCATCTAGATAGAATAAAGTGGAGACGACATAAACACTATTTTGCGATATGACAAATGGACGCACTTCGAATGACAGAAAAGTGTAATGAAAATGGTGACTTGAGTCGTACTTTGATGTATTTGAACTCAATAATTTTATATTTGAAACCTAACGGAATGAAAATGATTTTATATCATAAATGGCATCACTAAAACTGACTAGCTCAACTATCTCGAGTTTGACATATGACGTAAAAGTGTAATGCAAAGATGCGGACACTTTAGCATCGTCAAAGCATGTCCTTCTTATTCTATATCAATGGAACCGCAGTGTTAATTAGAACCCAGCAGTGAATGGTCGAGTAAGGAATCCAAGCTATACATTAGAATTAATTTTTGAATTATTAAATTAAATAAAAATCCCAGCCACCGGCGGAATTCGATCCTTGAATCCGAAAGTCTCACTGAGCCACCAACCCATGTGTTCTTTAATAATTGTAGTCAACCATCTACAACTATTAAGTTAACTAAAAAAATAAATAGTTTTCATTCTTCTTTTTTTTTCTTTGTTCCAGTGTGGGATTCAACAGGCAAATCATCGGCGGGTGTTTTACGAGGAAGTGTATTTCAAATGGGGCATTTTGAACAATGTTTATCAGCAGAAGCACCATTTCCTACCCAGTATTGTCTTGCCACTCTTACAGCTACGATTCCAAAACCAAATAAAAATAGAGATCCTCTGTCACTCTATTTTGATCCCTTTGACTCAGTATTGAGTAGATTGTACGTAAGTAAACTGCCAATATATATTTATTATTAAAATACAGTGTATAAAAGTAAAGGGATTTATTTGCATAATGTTTCTATAAATAATGAATGTCGGTATTCAAGGGCGTATCTAGAAGTCCAGTCAGCAGGGGGCAGGCAATAGATATTCTTTAACTAGGCTGCAATACTAGATTAGCGCGGCAAGTAAAACAAATTCTTGTGTCATTAAGCAAATTAAAATTCACACAATACATTATTTTTCGTGACATAAATTACATAAAAATCGCAGTTGTGCCATGGTGGTTACTATAAAAATATTGACTCATTTTATAATAACATTCACTGCAATACTTTGCATATTAATCACTTGTTTAATTTAGGTGGATAGAGGATAGTGATGCTTTGGTAGCTATTATTCGTACAACTAGCTTTTGTAACTCGTTTTTTTTGACGTATGTTAATGTCAAAAAGTTTTAATTACGGCTCTTGCGAAACAAGAAATATTTTCCTGGTCGAGGCAAACAAGTGATTAATTAAAATAAAATATAAAAATATAAACAGCTACAATGAAGATTTAAGTAAATTAACTCCGGAAAATCAAGGTTTTATTTTCGTAGCTTTTGAAACTTACCCAGCAATAAACAATATATATTAAATCTGAAATGCAAAAAAGTTTAAGAGCAGCCAATGAAAACTTGGAGAAAAAATTAAACAACTGACAAAAAGAAGTTAAAGGAAAAAATTGGAATTATAATATCGTAATTCTTTGACATAAAAACAAAAGAAATTGAAAAATTTATTGAGATAACAACAGATATAAAATAAATGAAGAACTTCAAACAAATATAAAAGTAGAAAACACATAATATATATGTTACGCACAAGTTATAAATTAGGTTCTTACAACTAAAAATTTCCTGTGTACCAAAGACGTAGAAAGTATAGATTAACGCTTTATTAAAAGCAAAACAATATCACAATAAAAAGTTAATGATAGTCTTATCGTGAATTTGACTTTAAAGTTTTTAGCTGTGGAAACAACCAAACAAATAACTCCTTTGATTCTTTATTTGCACAAATAATTACGCTATAAAAAAATAAGTTCCTATTTGGTTTATTCCAAACATTTTAAACCAACTTTTCTTTTTAACAATTTTCGATATAAAGACTTTCTTACACCAAATATTATTTAAATATGGATTTTTAGATCTGTATATAGTCCAGGAGCCAGTGAATTTTTTTATACTTATTTTCGCAGTCGGTGAATGTGACATTGTTTGTTCGGATGGTGACACAAAACGACAATTTGTGATTTTGGCTAAAATTTTTGGATGGGTTCACTAGATGAAAAAAAAAAAGACCAGTCATATATATTTGACATTTATTAAAGTGAATCATTTTATTAATGGAAATAACAGTCTGGCATATCCTAACGGAGGAAAGTCAGTCTGGCTGAAAATTTGCGGATCCAAAAATTTGACTGATTTTTGAAATCTCTAACACTTATTTTCCCATGCCTGAAATTTAACGTATCATTTGATACTGTCATAAACTATAATCAAAAGTAAGTCTGGATGATAAATAATACTATAATTTCATAGAAAGTACACGTCTCGCTGTCATTGACAGTCACGAAAGCACCGCCAGACTCACAAGTAAGATAGTTGAATGAGGAGAAGGAGGTGCAGGTGCGTATTTAGGTAACAACGCTGGAATGCGAGTAGGTACCTTAGAACAGCTGCCTGGACTCTGGTCCCTTATATCGCTATCTCTCTCAATTACCACGTGACTATATACAGTATAAGCACTTTTCTATGTGTCATTGTCAACATACATTAAAATGCAAACATGTCCAGCCGATCAGACTTTATAATACTGCAGCCGATCGAATGATTCTTCGTTTAGCATCGTGTCAGTTCGTATTTCGTTGGAGACTTTGGAATTTGACGATAATTAACCTAACCTAACCTATCCTTCTTCCATGCCTTAGATTTCGGAATTTCAGATTTCGTTGGTTTGGTAATACTCGCTTATTCGAGATATTTTAAATCTATACATCTTATAGTTTGTATAACTTTGTTGAGTGCATATAAGAGTCGAAAAAAATTAATACAAGAGCAATTTCAATATAGACTACATCTGAGTTAGGTTAGTTTTATAGTGGTTTTGAAATTTACTAATTAATTTACTTAACTTTTCAGAATCTTTAATTTTGAACATTAACTAAACATTATTTTGCAGTTTACAAGAAGATATGGAATCACAGGGGGGTAATTATTTTTTTTATATTGTGGCATTTTGAGAATAAGAACATTAAGGTTATAATATAAATCTTATGTATATTTTGCAGCCAACAAAATGTGATTTGTAGAATTGGAAATTTCATCCAGAATCTGCTGGACAGGAACAAAACAAACATATATGTCCAATATATAGCAATAAATTATAAAAAGTAAAAACATGTAGAGATGACAACAATCACCTGTATAATTGAACATGCCGAATTTAGCGCACCTAACGAGTATTGAACGAGTCTGGCAAGGCTTTGGGGGTGTTCCACATTAGCCAGACTATATTTGCAGCTGTAATTATAATATAAACTATCATCTGACAAATTTTTAGGACTGCGAAAATAAGATCAATGGCTTTGATAATTTTTTTCCAATTTTTCACCTGCCAGACAAATTACCCATACTCACAGATTAGCCAGATTATTTTTTTTTCTTCATTATATCTTCATTATATCTCTCACTAATAGATTGATTTTTACTACTGGAAAAAAAAGTGAAGTATATTTGTCCTCTCAAGCGCATTTTCCGTCTCAACCCATCGGAAACCCCCCCTTACATATATATGAATTTTTCTTAGAATAACAAACCGAATAATGTTATCGGTGTTTCCTGACTGGGAAAATAAGTACCAAAAAACTTCACTGCCTCCTGGACTAATAAGTGGTGCGCACAAGACGAGACGAGATTTTGCAAATCTCGTTCTCGATCTCGTAAAATCTCGAACTCCAAATCTCGATCTCGACTTTTAAGGAATCTCGACTGGACAATCTCGATTTCGAATCTTGCCGAGATCATTAAAAGATAATATTATTCTTAGAAAATAAAAAACTATCCTTTCAAAAACAAGTAGATACGTTAGAATATCCATTAACATTATAAAAATAAATATTAATAAATTTTATCAAATCACAAAAAAATATAATTTTTTTTTAAATAATTTATATTAAAAATATTATAGCTTTGAGGTAAACCAAGAATTGGGACATATAAGAGACCTGGCCGAATCAGCTGTTAACTGGCTTCGATGTTTTCTTATGATGAGGCCAGATTTTGAAAACTGTTTCTCGTCAGTGACTGATGTGGCGAGATTTTTTTGAGATCTTGTTCTCGCCGAGAACTCGAAGATCAGCTCTCGACTCTCGATCTCGACTTGTTATGCAGATCTCGTCTCGATTTCGAGACGAGATCGAGATTTTCTCGTCTCGTGCGCACCACTAGATCTGCATAAAATTGTGGCATTTATATTTTTTCAGAAATATGAAGATAAGTCACAACAATCCAGAAATGTCATTAATGTGGGATGGTGTGTTCCATCATCTTGTTCAGTATTAGACCTGGAAGAAAATTTAAATGAATACTTATCTAACGTAGATAGTAGATTTAAGCAGCAAAACGTATCATTCAAAGCAAAATTCTCAGAAACTTTTTGCCAAACGACTGCCGAGACTGATTATTTTGATGTAGCAGATATTTGTTTTTGGTAAGTATTCTAAATACCTCTTATTTTTGCAACTATAGTTCATGTTCGGCTGTCTACAAGTGAGGAACATTACTCCGTAACGGTCTTTCGTTGACTTATGTAGTGAAAATATTTGTTAATCGTGATTGTTTAAAAATCAACAATGTTTAAGGACAAAAATAAAAATGTTCAAATAATGTTTTATAATGAGTGAAAAAAATAAAAAAACAGAATCAACACCTGCTGAAGTGCTTTTAGAGCAACAAAATAGGACCTGATTCAGGAAAATATGGAAACAATGGAAGTGGGGGAAATTAAAGCTGGTGTTTCACAAGGCAGTGTGCTAGGACCGGTTTTTTTACTTATTATACACCAGCGATACCCCTTAAGAACAATGTGTTAAAATAGAAATATTTGCGGATGACACACAGAAACAATCGATTACAGTGGAAAATAAAAATAAACTAAATCAGTGCATGTTGATTTTACTCTTCGACCAAATAAAAATAAATAAGAATAAACCATGATGTTATTCCACATCACGATTCGGCCAAATACCTAGGAATGAACCTGGATGTACGACTTAAATAGAAAAAACATTTAAAAAAAGCGTAAAGAACTTGAAATTAAATTAAATGTATTGACACCTAGGAAGAAAATCCAAGTTGTCAGTGTACAACAAACTGCTGATTTATAAACAGATCCTAAAACCCGTCTGAATTTATGGCATACAGTTGTGGAGATGTGCTAGCAAGAGTAATATCAACATGACACAAGTTTTCTAAAATAAAGACCAAAGATGCATGGTTGATGCACCTTGGTTCTATTGAAATCATTATTTTTATAGATTAGATTAGATTTAGATTGAATTAGGACTATGGGCCATGTGGCCTCCCCCACCTCAACCTTTTCAGATCTATTGTGGATATCCTTTAATCATTGTAAGTACCTTGTCTAATTCGGTCTTCTGTAGTAGACTCCATAGACTGGGAAGTAGTTCTCCGGTATAGCTAGTTGCCCTTGGTTTTTCTTCTCCAAGTGTAAGGAATCTCAGTCTTGCTAGACCTTTGCAGTAGCACAATACGTGTTCTGCCGTTTCCTTCTCTTCTTGACAGAATCGGCACAAGGTCTTTTCTGTCAGACCGATATTGTACATATGTTTGTTAAGCCTATAATGCCCTGTTAGTAGACCTACTAGTACTCTAGTATTTTTCCTATCAAGGCTTAGTAGATGCTTGGTGAGTTTAGGCGATGGTCCTTTTAAGAACTCTTTGGCCTGTCTCTGTCCTGGTGAGTGTTTCCACCACTCCTGCTTTGTGCATGTTCTGATAGTTGTTTTTATTACACCACAGAAGGGTTCTAGGCCAATAAGAGCATTTGAGGCTCCTTCTCGGGCTAGTAAATCAGCCTCTTCATTGCCCTTATGTCCCTTGTGGCCTGGTACCCAGGCTAAGGTTATTTTTATAGATACCTGAAAATGCCAACAGTCGAAGAAGAATAAAGAGCTTTGCTGCGAAACATGAGGGTCGACCCTACTCCCACGTCAACGAAGGAGCTGGACAACTCTACACTCAAAAAAAAAAGAAGCCATTTGAGAGTGCTAGTGTAAAACAGTGAAATAAATCGTCACACTAACTTGTGATGCTTTCCTATAGAATGTATTAAAACAGCCCAATGGGGACTTCTTAGATAAGTAATTAGTTCATCAAATTTTTACACAAAAAAGGTTTAAAAGATAATAAATATGTCTGCTAAAAATAGTTAAAAACTCGATTAGTTCAAAACAACAAATTTTCAGATAGGACCTTTCTTGCTAGGACGGCAGTATATGACTTCTCTGTTTTTGTATTTTAATAGTTGAGAGTAGGGTTATGAGCATAGGTCGAAGGAATCGATACCGGTATCATGTGAGATACTTTGTGATAGAGGCATCTATACTGTTTGATATTATGTTAAAGATATTTTTATTTATAAGTATCGAGTAACAAAGTATCGAACAAGTAAAAGTTTTTTTAAACTGCCGACAACCCCCATTCATCAGGGTGAAGTGGGGAACTTAACTAAAAACAAGAGTTTCATCAGTAAAGTATATTCTGTAGTTGACAGTTGTTAATGACACCCTTTCTCTACTGGTGCTCTACCTGGTACTGGTATAAGTGTCAATAACTGGCAATTTACCAAATAATTAAATTACAAAAAAAACAGTGGTTACGCTTAATCATATTAAGGTCTATTCCAAGTTCCACCACATGCGAAAACTAAAATATATCAGTACAAATCGTGCGCTGTATGCAATTTTTAGGTTGAGCGTATGATTTGTATCGTAAATATTACGGTTTTAACGCATATTTGGACAAACCTTATTATCCTAGGTGACCCTGACCATACAAACACATAGCGATACGATACTTGCTTCTAAGTATTGATATGGCGATAGTATTGGTAATTCATTATCCGTGCCTAAATATCGATACTTTCATTGTTTAATATTGTTACTTCTATAGTATTGAGGCATCAATAAGATCCCTATTATCGTGTAAAATAAAGGCAGTTATTTAATTGCATCTTCACGTTTACAATGATTTATTTTTTATTGTAGTTGGAAACAAATATTGCAATCTAAAACAACAGACAATAAATTAGAAAATATGTTTCTATTTTATTGAAAAGAAGAAAAGAACTTACCAAGCATATTCAAACGTATAAATAGTTTACAAAATACAAATTACAATTTCTTTAAATTCTCAAATAAATACCACAAGAAAAAATGACAACTGACATTTTTATCATGTTTTGTTGACTTATGACAAACGAATGGCTAAGGTTATTTTTATAGATACCTGAAAATGCCAACAGTCGAAGAAGAATAAAGAGGTTTGCTGCGAAACATGAGGCTCGACCCTACTCCCACGTCAACGAAGAAGCTGGACAACTCTACACTCAAAAAAAAGAAGCCATTTGAGAGTGCTAGTGTAAAACAGTGAAATAAATCGTCACACTAACTTGTGATGCTTTCCTATAGAATGTATTAAAACAGCCCAATGGGGACTTCTTAGATAAGTAATTAGTTCATCAAATTTTTACACAAAAAAAGGTTTAAAAGATAATAAATATGTCTGCTAAAAATAGTTAAAAACTCGTTTATTTCAAATCAACAAATTTTCAGATAGGACCTTGCTTGCTAGGACGGCAGTATATGACTTCTCTGTTTTTGTATTTTAATAGTTGGGAGTAGGTTTATGAGCATCGGTCGAAGGAATCGATACCGGTATCATGTGAGATACTTTGTGGTAGAGGCATCTATACTGTTTGATATTATGTTAAAGATATTGATATTTATAAGTATCGAGTAACAAAGTATCGAACAAGTAAAAGTTTTTTTAAACTGCCGACAACCCCCATTCATCAGGGTGAAGTGGGGAACTTAACTAAAAACAAGAGTTGCATCAGTAAAGTATATTCTGTAGTTGACAGTTGTTAATGACACCCTTTCTTTCTCTACTGGTTCTCTACCTGGTACTGGTATAAGTTAGTGTTAATAACTGGCAATTTACCAAATAATTAAATTACAAAAAAAACAGTGGTTACGCTTAATCATATTAAGGTCTGTTCCAAGTTCCACCACATGCGAAAACTAAAATATATCAGTACAAATCATGCGCTGTATGCAATTTTTAGGTTGAGCGCATGATTTGTACCGTATATATTACGGTTTTTACGCATATTTGAACAAACCTTATTATCCTAGGTGACCCTGACCATACAAACACATAGCGATACGATACTTGCTTCTAAGTATTGATATGGCGATAGTATTGGTAATTCAGTATCCGTGCCTAAATATCGATACTTTCATTGTTTAATATCGTTACTTCTATAGTATTGAGGCATCAATAAGATCCTTATTATCGTGTAAAATATAGGCAGTTATTTAATTGCATCTTCACGTTTACAATGATTTATTTTTTATTGTAGTTGGAAACAAATATTGCAATCTAAAACAACAGACAATAAATTTCTATTTTATTGAAAAGAACTTACCAAGCATATTCAAACGTTTACATAGTTTACAAAATACAAATTACAATTTCTTTAAATTGTCAAATAAATACCACAAGAAAAAATGACAACTGACATTTTTATCATGTTTTGTTGACTTATGACAAACGAATGTCTACGTTCGTAAACAAAATGTACTTCTCGTGGATACTTTTTTAGCAAATTACTTTATTACATTGTGTTATCATAACAGGCAGGTTAAATACGTAAGTAACAAATAGATATTTCGCGAGGTTTTGATTTCCCTCAACAACTTCTCATGAACGTTGCAGTTACGTTGTATGATAATGTTATTATGTTCCCTTAAAACAACATCGCCGAAAGGCTTGGCAACGTTATGTGCTAGCTGGGACGGCTTTGGGTAGTAGATTAGTTTATAAATAGTTTACTACTAGGTTGTACGTGTTGTTTTTCTGTAGATGGTTATTACATTTTATGGCTTGTTCATGAATTTGATGACTAGCTCATCTGCAGATAAAGCTTGTGAATTTGCCACACCGCTAGTATTTATGGCTGGTGGTTACCGACGAAAATAGAAATATTTCGATTAGCCAATCATATTACTTTAAGAGAAGAGCGATAGAAGTTGGCCTTTTTTCATGATTTACGTGACGAAAAATTTTAAAATTACTTTATATTAGGTAACTATTACATGAGGTACAGTTAATTACTTGAGGTAACCTATAACCTAACCGCAAAAAGTACCATTGTAAACTCCAAATTTAAGCAAAAAAGGATACTCAGGATACTCGCTTGGAAAGTATATTTGAAAGATGTTAAGCTATATCGCGAGATTTTTTTGAGCATTATAAACATATCTTATAACTTGCGTGTAATTTACTCAGTTTATCGTAAAATATTAGCTATAAGATATCTTATAGCATCGCTCGTAGTGAAATACCAGCTTTATTTGATAAAATTAAATAAAAAACTTAAATAATTTATTCATTACAGCTTCCTTGCGATATTACTCATTGTATGTGTAATACTAGCAACTGTCTATGATTATACGAAATCCCAAGTCAAAGATGAAAAACCGTTAAAAAGTAAGTTATTCAGAAACTAAATATTATAATAATTTTATTGACACTTTCTTACAACTCCACGATTCACTTAATCGCCGAAGGGTTAAGTTCCGTTACAGTAATTGATTGATTGATTGATTGATTGATTGAGGAGATTAATAACAAGAGAAGAAATAAATTAAAATCGAATATTTACATTCACGCTAAATTACAAAATTGTACACGAATTCATTTGAGGAGTATTGAATAATCAAATAATTATTTCTTGAGTGCCACATTATTGAACATATTCATTCAAACAAGGAAATTGTTAATTGAATAAATAAAAACTTACTAAGTCAAATTCCTAAGGCAGCGTATATAAAACGTGGATGTAGAAAGTTCAAATCTTATTCCGGATATAACTTATCAATTTTTCAATTAATTTGTTTTTTACCTTTGAGGGTTAAAAAATAATTTCGTAGTGGTAATTTTATAAAATGTATTTGTCAATTTTCAAAGATTTAAAAAAAAATAATGTTGCACATCGTTTTCTACAACATACTAATATTAATTGTTGGGGTCCTTAATGTAAACAAACTGTAGCTTGGATTTTATTTTCAATAGTTCCAATAACTATAGGTAAATTATTTACATAAAATATTTGATTTTATCGTTAAAATACCAAAAAGATTTCTATGGTAATTTCAGATCTACTCATCAATTCCTATAAACAATATAATATTATACTTTCAATTTTGTTATTTTCATATGTTTTTTATAGAGTCTAGATCTTCAAAAATTTTAATGGCTTTCTCGGCAAGAGACAATTTTCTCGAACTTAATAAAGCAGATGATTCAAACCCAGCTTTAAGTATACTTTATGGTATGAGGACGGTGTGCATTTTTGCTATTATAATGGATCATCGATTTGGAACATTTATATCATCAGCTGTTCTCAATTTTAATTACTTGGAGGAGGTAAGAATAAAATAAAAAGAGTTAGAAATATATTTTACTATTTAGGCACTGCAGTATAAATGCCCTAAAATTATTTTGAATTAATTTTGTTTTTTTTTTTTTTTATTTTAAATAATTCCAGTGTATAAATGTTACAATGAATATCTACATAATTCTAGCATATACCTAATTAAGCTAGTGAATAGGAGCAAAAAATATCGAGGCTATGGTAAAGGCTACAACCCATTCTAAAGTATGCACAGCTTGGCAAAAAAGCTTACAAATCTGCTGTTGTTATGTTTAAAAAAAACTCATTTTAAACTACTAATGTTATTTGTCTAAATGGCAGTTGTATAAAACATGGTAGAAGATTAACCTACCTAAGTTAATTAATTAATTCTACAAGATTTAATAAAGAAAATAATGGTTACAATGAAAAATGTATTGAAAAAACAACAAAAAAGGTACAAGCAAGAGTCAAGTGGCTGAGAACAAATAAAATAGAAGATAAAATGGCCTATAAAGAACTGAGAAAACAAAACAAAAAAACTTATAATAAAAAGTAAAAGAGTGGACAGATAATAAAATAAAAATAATTTAAAATAATGAAGTAAGAAAAATACAAAAGATTTTTACAAGAAAATTAAAAAACAAAACAAAATCTACAAAGACAAAACTAAGGGAATAAAAAATAATAATAATAAGAATAATTCTAGATCACATAGTAAACATCTCTGTATAGGAATAGTTATTTTATTAAAGTTGATTTATCAGAATTAATTCATTAAAATTAATTTATTAAAAGTCATTTATTAAAATTAATTTATTACAGTGTTTTAAAATTTGGTCCCTTACAATTTTATAAAACCTACATATATTTCAATGTTTTTTGTCTATTTTTGGTATTTTCTCTCATCAGTGAGATCTTAATAATGATACATTTGTATTTTAAATTTTATTTTTATCCATGTAATTAAACCTTTTTGGTTTGTATGGAAAAAAGATCAATAAATAAATAAATAAATAAATAAATAAATAAATAAATAAATAAATAAATAAATAAATAAATAAATAAATAAATAAATAAATAAATAAATAAATAAATAAATAAATAAATAAATAAATAAATAAATAAATAAATAAATAAATAAATAAATAAATAAATAAATAAATAAATAAATAAATAAATAAATAAATAAATAAATAAATAAATAAATAAATAAATAAATAAATAAATAAATAAATAAATAAATAAATAAATAAATAAATAAATAAATAAATAAATAAATAAATAAATAAATAAATAAATAAATAAAACAAGCAGGTGTGGATAGATTACTTAAAGGATTTATTAATCGAAGAATCTAAGATGATAGAGAAAGAGGAAATAGAAGAAAGGAACATAATAGCTGACAACAAGAGAAGAGATGAAAAAGGTCATTAGGAAATGCAAATGGAAAATTACCAGGAAAAGATGGAATTGCTATTGAACTCATAAAATATGGAGGCAACGAATTGAAATAAAAACTATTATCTCTAATTCAGAAAAAATGGAAAGAGGAAAAAATATCGAGATAGTGGAAAATAGGAGAGGTGATAACAAAGCAGATGATAACAAAATTACAGGGGAACAACACTTCTTAATACAGCTTACAAAATACTTTCAGCAATAATACAAAAACGGCTAGCGCAAACAACAAAAGAGTTGATAGGACAGTACCAATGTGAATTCACACAGGGAAGTAAACTATAGAGCAATTCATGCAATAAAACAAATAACGAAAAAGGCTTATGAACACAAAATAGAATTAGAAATGCTTTTTATTGACTTTAAACAAGCCTTTGATTCAATAAAAAGAAGAAAACTGCAGCTAGCCCTACAAAATTAGGAATGCCAATTAAGTTAAGGCAGTTAATAATAATGACGATACAAGAAACAAAAATTAACATAATTACACAAAAAAACTACAGGGGGAGGATAAGTTCATTACATATGCAGATGAAATAGTGATAATTACTAAAACAAAAGAAAAATCATGGAAAAAATCTTGAACGAAATTGTAAAAGGATGAAAAAGTAAGGAACTATAGCCAAACCAAGAAAAAACAAAAATCATGAGATTAGATAAAAAAAAGCAGCATCAAAAAGTATTAAAACAATAAAACATGAATTCAAAGAAGAGCAAAAATGTAAATACTTGAAAATTACAATAGAACTGGAGACAGAAAACATGAAATATCAGAAAAATAAAGCCTTGCACGCAAAAGAAAAATTACTTAAAAGCAAATTACCTACAAAAAACAATAAAATGAAGATATACAACACAATAATCAGACTAATATTACTATACGCAGCAGAAACAATGATTATAACAAAAAAGGAAGATCTAGGAATTATGGAAAGAAAAATTATTAGAGCAATATTATGACCAATTAAAATCACAGAAAAAGAATATAAAATAAGAACAAAATGAGCAAATTAAACAAGAGCTAGAAGACGACATAATAACCAAAGTAAAACAATGCAGAGTTAGACGGTTGGGATACGTTTGGAGAATGGGAAATGGAAAATTGGTCCATTCAATGTTAAAATGGGAGCTGGAGGGAGAAAAAGACGTGGAAGACCCAGATCAGGATGGCTGAAGGAAGTAAAATAGAAGTAGAAGTAAATAATTGTCAAGAAAAAAGAACAGGATAGGGAAAAATATTGGGCGACATTGCAAAGAGTAATATCTAGGAGAATGGGATTGATCCACCCAAAATATGGATCTAGAAAGCGAACAGCGACTTATCCCCATTTATGAAAATATTTCTATTTTCTTTAATATACTTTAGATTTAGATTCAACCATCTGAGTTCATATGTGGGATTAGAGAATCTCAACTATGATAATACTATCAGGTACTTTACCCTCTTAGTTAATATACTCAAATTGTATTTATTGTGCAGCGCTTTATTGTCCGGTGCTATTTTGTGTCGGAGTCCTATTTTCCCCGACGCTGATATATTACAGCGCTATTTTGTGTGGCGTTATTTTGTCGTAGCACTGTTTTGTCATCGCTGATTTGTTCTGCGCTACATTGTCCGGCGCTGTTTTGCGACAGAGACCAGTTATTTATCATTAATAAAGGAAGTATTGTTTTATTTAATTCTTAATTATATCTATTTTTTTTTTATTTTAGCAATACAGATCTGCGATAGCTTGTGTCCTATTTCATGGAGACCTGTTTGTGGATTCATTTTTTATACTCAGTGGCCTTCTAGTAGTGTATAGTCTTTTAAATCAAATGGAGAGGCATAAAATGAATCCAGGATTTGTAATAATGATGCGATATATAAGGTAAACAATTCAAAATAAGTAATATTACCTACCTACTCTAATTTAAAAATTTATAAAAAACATACTTAATAATATACAGGGTGGCAAAAATTTTATTGAATACAACTATTATAATATATTATTATCCGTTATAGATACAAAGTTGATTAAATGTAAAAAATATTGGTAGTTTCAAGACAAATTTATTTGTTCTTTTAAAATAAAAATAATCGATTTTCGTTTTATTTAATAATTCACATTTTGTTTTTAAAGTTAGAAAAAACTTTACCAAGCTTTTTTATGTTGAAAGACGAATACCGCTTAAGTATTTTTTGTAATACGAACATGTTCCTCTTGTCTCATTTAGGATATTTCCATTTTGTTCTCTAACCAACCACATAACATACTAAATGGTTTTTTAAGATTAAATTTAATTTAAACAAAAAAATACAAGCTGGCTATAAAGACAAAACTCTTTGTGCAAGATGGCTGTGGACCACACAATGCCTTAAGAGGTCGCCAATTTTTAAATAATAGATTTCAAAGAAAATGGTTAGGAATAAATGGATACAGAGAATGGAGTCCACGGTCTTTAGATTTAAACCCAATGGATTAATTTAATTATTATTAATTAATTTAAACATTGAACTAATCGGTTATTTGTTGCTTCTAATAGAAAATGAAGCGTTTGTTTCTTTTTTTTTTTAATTATAGTACATGGCATAAAACACTAAAGAATTAGAAATCGAAAAACATTTTCTTATTTAATACTTGCAATTTACAATCTTTCTGACATAGTAATTAGTAAATAATATGTTGTAAGAAAGATGACTTGAGGTATCTTTTATCCATGACGGATTTCGAACGTTTTAATAAGTTAGGTCATGATCTTCTTGTTCTTGTTTCTATATCAAGGGTACAGGGGTAAAAAGATGAATGTCACAAGAAGTAGTTTATGAGAAAAACGAATATAAAAATTTGTTGAGTGGAAAGAAAGCTGAAAAATATTGATGTGTAGTTTTTATTAATACTATTATTATAATTATAAATTATACATCAACAACATTTTGGCTATAAGATAAGTTTGAAAAAAATGTCGTGCATCTGGATTTTTCTAAAACTTTTTCAAATTTTGGAGATTGCGGTACTTGGAGATGTCGATGGTATTTTAGATTTGGTAACTCAAATTGATGAACAGGTGCTTCAGGATTTCATTGCTTTTGTTTAGATGGCAATACCATAGAAGTAGTGAATGCTCCGTTATAATACTCACGATACTGTATGATCCTGAGCATTTCTTCCAATATGTAATTTATTTGATTGATCTGCTCTCAAATTATTTTTATATGAGTATTTGTGAGTTAATCAGTCTAGGATTTAAATATATTATATTTATCGCAGAATATTAAATTGAATAGACATAGCTCTGTAGTGGCATTCCGAATTTGGTTATTCCTTTCAGATAGGGTTAAATGGTAACTTCTGGTTAAAATATCTTTAACAGATCGTGAAATATAATTTTTTTATTTTAAATTAATTTTCATAATTTTGCTTGGTATTGGTACGAAAAATGTGTTCTCCACCTGTAAATTATTATGACTACGAGGGTAAATTATATCCACTATCGGAGAAAATGCTTTTTCTATTCCCACAAATAAAACAATATTTTAAAATTGTATGTAATATTATTTCATACTAACTTTTATTATTACGGTAATATATTTTTTTAATTATATGATTAACTTTGCATTGCAGAACTGGGAAAATTTTTGCTTTAATTTGTTTCAAAACAACTTTCGAATAGACGAACCATCCATTTGTTTAGGGCCTATAGTTATCTATGTGATGTCTCTGTCTAATTTCGGATCTAAATGTCATTACAGTAAATTACGAATGCGTTTGAATGAGTGAATAAATGATATTTTCGATAGGTTCTTAAGTTATATGTTATATACCTACTTTTTTAGATTCCGTGTAGATATGACTTTAGTACTAAATAGTGTGAAAGCGCTACACAGTTCATATTAATATTATGTTAAAGCTAAATATATTTAAATAGGGAAAGGATCGTGCAATTATAACATTCACTATTATTATTATAGAAATAATTTCAAGATGTAATCACCAATATTATTACTAGATCAATAATTATCGTCCCACTATTTGCAATTATTATTACAATAAATATGCACATTTTATTGTAACACAATTAACTTTAAATAAGTGCAAAAAACAAAGCGCAATAAATAAACAATTTATAATTACCAATAATTCTTTAGAAGTGACATTAATGTTTTACATTTTTTTAATTTTCTAATGATTATATGTACAGACAAATATCGCAAATATCCATTAAGGGGTATTACTATTACTCTGACGTAAGAAATACACTGACTTGCAAAAAAGGCGGAGCACCTTCGGCAAGTTTGACAGCTTATAAATGTTTATGCCTTATCCTATTTTAAACATTTTTCTGTTTACTAGTTATTATAATTATTTTAAGGTGATATTTAACATTTTTTTTTTAAATTAAGTAGGTATTCTTTTTTAAATTTGAAATGCTTCATGAAGTAAACAATTATCGAGTGTAGAATAGTGAACTGATTAGAGTTCGTATTCATAAACCGATCTTGGCCAAATCGCCAGTCGACCCTCATGTTTCGCAGCAAACCTCTTTATTTTTTTTTTCGAGTGTTGACATCTTCAAGTCTCTATGAAGATAATCGGTTCGATATAATCAAGGTACATCAATGATACATCTTAGGACTTTATTTTGGAAAACTTGTATCATGTTGATATTACTCTTGCTGGCATATTCCCATAGCTGTATGCCATAAATCGAGAATGGTTTTAGGATTTGTTTATATAAATCATCACTTTGTTATACACTGACAACTTCGTCATAGCCAATACATTTTTTTTATTTAACTTCAAGTTCTTCACGCTTTTATTATGTGATCTTTCCATTTGAGTCGTATTTAGGTTTATCCCTAGTTATTTGGCCGAATTGTGATGCGGAATAGTATCACTGTGTATTCTTATTTAATTTTGGTTCATTTTGCCGAAGAGTAAAATCAACATGCACTGATTTAGTTTTATTTATTTTTATTTTCTACTTTTTTGTCCATCGATTCATTTTGTTTCATGTATCCTAGAGTTTTTCTGTGGTCTCTGTAGTAGTTCGGCCAAATGCCAATCTAGCAGTTTCATCCGCAAATATTGCTCTTTTAACATCATTTTTGCTGATGAATATCGTTGGTGTAATAATAGGTAAAGAACCAGTCCTAGTACACTGCCCTGTGGGACACCTGCTTTTATTGTAGGAAATAGTTATTTTATTGTTAATTTGTTAATAGTTTATATATCCCGAAACAGAATCACTCTGTAGAGTGTAAAAATGTCAGACTGATTAATTAATTTTTATAAAAAAGTCAACGAAATATACTATTGAAATATCGATTTATCTTTAATTACGTTCCCATCTTTACCCCTCATCAACATTTTGGCGACCGTGACAGGACCCTAAAGATGGAGAACTTAAAGCTACAAAGAAAAATGTTAAGAGAATTGTTCACAGAAAATGCGAAGCAGATAGAGGAGTACCTCAAACAAGAAATCGTGAGCAAGAAAAATATATGTTCACTGTTACGACAATTAGAAGACATCAGTGAAAGACTTTTTACGGCCGATGAGAAGATAAATGAATTACTTCTTTCCTCAACGGTCACTATCGATTCCATAAGAAAAGAATTTGAAGAAGTTCAACAATATAGAAATCAATTGATCGATTACAAAACCACCTGTGAATTTAGAATAACCAATGATGATTGCCAACAAGAAGAAGTATCAAAAGACACACAAAGTTCCACCAGTAGAAGAAGTAAGAGAAACTTTAACTTACCAAAACTAGAATTAAAGAAGTTTAATGGAGATATTAAGCAATGGCTAGGTTTCTGGGGACAATTTAGAAAAATTCACGAAGATCCCGAAATCGACGTAGAAGATAAGTTTTTGTATTTGATACAAGCTACTGAAGAAAAATCTCCTCCAAGGGCATTGGTAGAAAGTTTCCCACCTCACGAAGCCAGTTACGTTAAGGTTATTGAACAGCTAAAGGCCAGATTTGCTAGGGATGATATGCTTATTGAGGTATACGTCAGGGAATTGCTAAATGTAGTTCTAACACAAGCTACGTCAAACAAATCAGGTACGAATCTAGCTACTCTCTACGATAAATTGTTAACTCAACTGAATGCTTTAGAATCACTTGGGGTCACATGTGACAAATACGCAGCTATGTTGTTACCGCTAGTAGAATCAGCACTACCAGAAGACTTGCTAATTATTTGGGAGCGACAACGCAAGTTCAATAAGCTACAAAATGTCACATCTTTACAAGGCGACATGGATATGAATTCTTACAATAATAATAATTTATCTATGTTATTAGATTTTCTAAAGGGAGAAGTTGAAGCCGAACAAAGAATTAACAGGGCACAAATTCAATTCCAACATGAAGACTATTCTTCGATGGGGAATAAAGTCAAGGAAAATCAGCAAAGGAAATTGAAACTTCAACAAGGTAATCCAGAAATCTACACTGCTGCCGCACTTTATTCTACTGACTCAAAGGATATGAAATTTGGTAAGAAAATTCCAATCTGTATATTTTGTGGTAATACTCACAATAGTCAGGATTGCTTAAAAGCTCAAAAACTTTCTTTGGAAGAGCGAAAATTAAAAATTTCTTCGAAAAGAGGCTGTTTTTCATGCTTAAAACTAAATCACAACAGCCGAATGTGTAAATCTTTTATAAAATGTTTAATATGTTCACGAAAACATTATCGAATCATGTGTCCTGACTTAGTTCAAAGAAAAGATTTAACTAGTACTGATAATTCTAAAAGTCAATATAATAATTCAGTAAAAAACGTATTAACAAGTAATATTTCTTCACAAGTACTATTGCAAACCATTATTGTTCAAGTTGTAAATAATAATAAAGTTAAGGTCGTTAGGGC